CTATTTTTTTTATCTTTTTTACCTCATACTTTTAGGTAAGACTTTTATTCACTTGCTTCAAAAATTGAAATAAACTATTGAAGTTTATTTAGGTATTCTGATAAATGTGACTTAATTAGTCATAATTGAGTATTGAATATTAAGTATTGGAAAAAAGAGGAAGTCATAACTGAGTATTGAAAAAAGTCATATTGAGTATTGAATAGTCATATTGAGTATTGAAAAAAGAGGAAGAAACGAATTCATATTAATTCAAGTGTGTGCAAATTACCTCATAAAAGATTAAAATTAAATTTTTAACCAATATCTAAAAATCAGTCCCTGGAGAAGGAAGATTCCCATTTTACTATAAGTGTTATTATAATTAAAGTCACATTTTTATGTATGTTAATATGAATACAGTATTTTCAATTTTTCTCCAAACATGACACAGCTTCATTCAAATAAAAGATTTATATCATCATTTTCAAAACCTGTAGAAATCTAAGCCTCTCACCTGATGGAATGAAAGGAACTGAATTTACTTTCCCACCTGAAACTATGGAAAAGAAATACAGAGAAAATATATAAAACGATGATATACAAAACTGCAAAAAACAAGCAATCATGCACAGTGATCCTGAGATATGAGAAACAAATGAGATAAACTATGATTGCCTCAACTTACTGCACTGAAAGAGGTTCCTGGACACAGCAGAGGAAAAAGGTACATAAGCAGAGCCAGAGAATCTCTCTAAGTTGAAGGACATAGCTCAGAGTCCTTGGAGAACAAGTTAGTTGAATTGTGAAGGGCAGAACACTGGAGAGAAGAGAAATGCACAGAAAGAACTATGAAAATATGTAAAGGTTCTCTCTTCAGTATTCAACTACATGAAGCCAAGGGATGAACTGTCTGATAGATTACAAGGATCAGTTTATCTTTTCTACAGAGGTGGTAAAACTGTATATTCTCAGCCAGATTGGAAATGTTTATCTTTTGTAGGACATTGGGTAAATTAGTTAGAAGGAACTTGCATCAGTAAGGTATAATAATTAGCCTTAGACTACATATTCATCTAGTCTTGCCCAACATATCATAAAAATAAGATCTGAAAAATCAAACTATTTTTAACTTGACTTCACAGAAAAAATTCAAGAACATTTATAGGAGAATAAAAACATCCAACATCAAAGTGCATTTTATAATGTCTACTATCTAATGAAATATTTCTAGCAATACAAAGAAGCTGGATATTGTGATCCACAATGAGAATAAATATTAATTGATCAAAACAAACCCACAAATATTAGATTAGCAGACAGGGAATTAAAACAGTTACTATAACTGTATTTTGCAAAAAATCAGTGGAACTAAATATAGAGTTCATAAATAGATTTACCCAAATGTGGCTAATCAATTTTTTTTGTCAAAGATGTGAAAACAGATTAATGGAAAAGTATTAACATTTTCAACAAATGATAAGGAAGTAATTGCATATCTACTTGCAAATATGTAATTTTGGACCTAAATCTATACTTGGTACAAAAATTATCTCAAAATTTACATCAACAGAATGAAGAACCAAAAATATATGATGATTTCAATAGAAGCCAAAAAAGTTGTTTACAATAGCAAAGAGCTGGAACCAACCCAAATACCCATCGATGATAGACTGGATAGGGAAAATGTGACACATATACGCCATGGAATATTATGCAGCCATCAAAAACGATGAGTTTGGGTCCTTTGTAGGGACATGGATGAACCTGGAAACCATCATCCTCAGCAAACTGACAGAAGAACAGAAGATCAAACACCGCATGTTCTCACTCATAGGCGGGTGTTGAACAATGAGAACACATGGACACAGGGAGGGGAGCACTACACACTGGGGTCAGTTAGGGGGAAATAGGGGAGGGACGGTGGGGGGTGGGGAGCTGGGGAGAGATAGCAAGGGGAGAAATGCCAGATGTAGGTGATGGAGAGGAAGGCAGCAAATCACACTGCCAGGTGTGTACCTATGCAAAAATTTTGCATGTTCTTCACATGTACCCCAAAACCTAAAATGCAATAAAATAAATAAATGGGGAAAAAAAAGCATTCAATAATATTCAGTATTTTTTCACGGTAAAAAAAACAACAAACTTGATATAAAGGAAATAAACCTCAACAGGATAGAGGCCAAATACCACAAACCCACATCATATTGAAGAATGCAAAACTGAAAGCCTTCCCTGTATCATCTGAAAAAGGACAAGGATCCTCAGTTAACACTTTTATTCAGCATAGTACTAGAAGTCCTAGCCAGAGCAATTAGAAAAAAAGAAAGAAATAGAAGAGCACCCAAATTGGAAAAGAGGAAGTCAAACTATCCTTGCTTGCAGATGATATGATCTTGTATTCAGAAAAACCAAACAACTCCATCAAAAGACTAGTGCAACTTGTACTATTCTGTTCTCAAGTTGCTGACAAAGACATACCCGAGACGGGGTAATTTATAAAGAAAAACAGGTTTAATGGACTCATATTTCCACCTGGCTGGGGAGGCCTCACAATTATGGCAGAAGGCAAAATGGACATCTTACATGGTGGCAGGCAAAAAGACAATGAAAACCAAGTGAAAGGCATTGCCCCTTATAAAACCATCAGATCTCACAACAATTATTCACTGCCATGAGAATGGTATGAGAGAAATTGCTCCCATGATTCAATTATCTCCCACTGAGTTCCTTCCACAGAATGTGGGAATTATGAGAGCTGTAATTCAAGATGAACTTTGGGGACAGAGCCAAACCATGTTAGAATTAATAATGAGTTCAATAAAATACAAAAAAAAAGATACAAAATTAACAAAAATCTGCAGTGTTTGTATAGGCTAACAATGAGCAATATGAAAAGGAAACCAAGAAAACAATCCCATTTGTGGTAGCTACAAATAAAACAATACATAGGAATAAACTTCACTTAAGAAGTTTATTAGCTCTTAGGATATCTCACTTAAAGTGAAAGATCTGTACAATGAAAACTATAAAATATTGATGAAAGAAATTGAAGAGGACACAAAAAAATTGAAATATGTATTAAAGAATCAACATTTAAATTAAAGATTTATAATTATTAAGTCTTACTACTCAAGGAAATCTATAGATTCAATATTATTTCTATTAAAATACCAATGACATTCTTCACAAAAATACAAAAAACAAATGCTAAAATTAGTATGAAACCACAAATGACCCAGAATAGCCAAAGCAATCCTGAGCAAAAATAACAAAGCTGGAGGCATCACATTACCTTACCTCAAATTACACTACAAGCTCTATTAACCAAAATAGCATGGCACTACCATAAAAACAGACATAGACCAATGGAATAGAGTAGAGAACACAGAAATAAATACATTTATGGTCAATTCATTTTTGACAAAGTCCCTAATAATATACATTGGGGAAAGGACAGTCTCTTCTACAAATGGTGCTGGGGAAGCTGAATGTGCATATGCAGAAGAATGAAACTAGATCCCCCTCTCTCCCCATAGACAAAAATTAAATCAAAATTGATTAAATATTTAAATGTAAGCCCTGAAACTAGCAAATCACTAGAAGAAAACACTGGGGAAATGTTTCAGGACATTGGTCTGAGCAAATATTTTTTTTGCGTAAGTTCTCTAAAGCACAACCAAAGAAAAAATTGACAAAAGAGATCACATTAATTTAAAAACTTCTGCACAGCCAAGGACACAATCAAAAAATGAAGAGATTACCTATAGAATGGGACAGAACATTTGCAAACTGTTCAAATAGGTCACAGATTAATAACTAGAATATGTAAAAAAGTTAAACAACTCAAGAGCAAGAGATAAAATAACTAACCAAATTTTAAAATGGACAAAAGATCTTGTGGGCGATGGAAGATCCGCCGGGGAGTCTTGGCCAGCAAAAGGGTCCCGACCTGAAAGAGGAGGTGTGCAGAAATAAAGAGAGACAGAAAAGCTGGGGTCGGGAAGACTGAAAAGGCAATGCCTAAACAGAGAATTTATTTTTGTCCAGGGTCTCAATATAAACCTTAAGATCAAAGGTGTTTAGGTGTTTATACAATCAACAATGGAAAGTTACAAAATATAAGATCACAAAAACAATCTTAAGCATGACATTCAAGGATCATAAAAGTGGGCAGGTGGTACGCTTTATCTGTTTTTACCAAAACATGCTTTTGTAAATAACAATACCTAAGAGTCACAAAGTAAGCCATAAAGTCATTATCTAGGGTTCAAGGTAGTCATGGGGATAAGGTTAAGCTTCTTGAAAAACAAGGTCGTAAAAGTCAGCAGAGGCCTAATGGAGACATAACGTCTGACAAAACCACATGACACTTACCCAAGCGTCATTGCAGTCAGAAGTAGAAACCTTTGCAACATCAGTCATTTCTTAGTTCCTTCTTTCCCATAGCTCCACTGCCTCCAGCAGGAAACTGTGTTTGGGCTCAAGCTCACCGTCTGGTGAGGCCCACACATTAGGGGGGCCTCTCATGGGAGCATCCCCCACAGATCTTAACAGACATTTCTCAAAGGAACATACACAAATGGCCAACAGATACACAAAAAAATGTTCAACATTACTAATCATCAGATAAATGCAAATGAAAACCACAATGAGTTGCTATCTCACACTAGTTAAATAGCTTTTATCAAATAGACAAAAAATAATAATAATGGATGCAGATGAAGATAGGGAGAAAGGGACAATTTGGACAATGTTTGTGGAATATAAATTTGTAAATTTGTACAGCTACTACGGAAAAGAATATGGAGTTTCCTCAAAAAATTAAAATAAAACTACCATAAATCCATCAATCCTACTGTTGGGTATATATCCAAAAGAAAGTAAATCAGTATATCAAAGAGCTATCTGTTTTCTTATGTTTAGTGCAGCAGTATTCACACTAGTTAAGATATGGAATTAACCTCAGTGTCTATCAATGCATGAATGCATTTAAAAATGTAGTATATATACACAATGAAATATTATTCAGCCATTAAAAAGGAATAAAATCCTGTAATTTGCAATGTCATCTATAGAAGTGGAAGACATTACATTAAGTGAAATAAGCCAAGCATAGAAAGACAAATATCACATGTTCTCACTCATATGTGGGAGCTTTAAAAAAATGATCTCATGAGGGTAGAGAGTGGAATGGTGGGTAGCAGAGGCTGGGATGAATAGCATGAGAGGGGAATAAAGACAATCAGTTAATGGGTACAAAATGCAATTAGATGTAAGCAATAAAATCTAGTGCGACCCATCCTGCTTCTGCTTGCCCTTTGTGGGCTGTGCCCACTGCCTAACCAGTCCTAATGAGATGAATAGGGTACCTCAGTTGAAAATGCAGAAATCACCCACCTTCTGTGTTGGTCTCACCAGGAGCTGCAGACCGGAGCTGTTTCGATTCAGCCATCTTGCCATGAGGCCCTATTTTAAAATTCTTAATGATTGTCTGTAGGCTTTCACTTAACAAATAACAGAAATGTGCTATAAGAGTATTACTCAAGTAATATGCTCCCATTAGTGGTTTATAAAGTCAATTTATGTGGTCATAGACAGGGAGAAAAGAAATAGAATAAAGATTAGTGTATTGCCCATGAAAAGGTACTTGTTTCATGAACTAATTTTGGTTTTGAATATAAATTCATCTATGTACTAAGATGCAATAAAAAATATATCTCAATATTAATCATAGTTTAAAAGTGTGATAGACTATAGTTATAAATCTAAGAAATAAGTTTTTTGCTTATTAAAGTTATAAAAAATAAGTTATTTACTAACTTATTTTTTGATTTCCATTTAGTCCTCTTCTATTGTGATGTGTGAAAATTATTTTAAAAACAGACTTATAAAATGGAATTCAGATAAGATGATTCATATGAACTTTTCTACCTCATTATTACTTATGTTAGAAAATTAGTCAAAATTATCTTTTTGAAAAGGGATCAGAGAAAAATTAATCTCTACAGAGATAATAGTATTTCCTGATATTTTTCTGAGCAATGGCTCCAAGACCAGTCAAACAATTCTGAGAAGACCAAAGGATGATAAAGACATCTTAAAGGCATCCTTGTTTTACAACTAAAAGGTGTGGCACATACCTCAGAGAGATTTTTCTTAGTTTTCTTACTTAGATTTAACTATCTACTAAGATATTCAATCCAAAATAGAAAAATCCAGATCAATTAATACAAATGACAAAAATGTTCCTTGTTTTGTGTGCAACTTCTTCTAAAAAAGTAATAAAAATTTACTATAAAATTTTAAAATTTAAAACTAATTAGAATAAAATAAGCCCAATAGCAAAATAATTACTTTAAAATTATAAAAGCAACATTTCTAAAATTAGATACAAAAACTGCAGAAAAGGATAAGGAAGAAAACATTTAAAAACGATTATTTTACTAATGAAAATATTTCACTTTTAATAAATTCATTAAATTGAGGGTAGAGAATCTCTACTCTTCCTTAAGTAAATATTCAAATATTTCTGTCCTTGCATAAGTAGACTTTCAATATGCCAAGGTGAAAAAGGTCAGGGGCCAAGATCCTAGAACTCTTTTTTAGATTGAATCAAAACTGTATAAATCAAAGCAAAGTGTATGTTTGTGGTATTTAGGGCTGCTTAATCAGAGACTTGGACTGACCACAGAGGTCCTAGCTGAGGAAGTAGAAGAGATTGTTAGAGCTATCACATGGGGTAATGCTATGAAGACTCAGGATGAGGGCCAGGCCTCAGTATATCTCTATGCAGAGGATCACAGGCACAGACAGTGAAATCTGAAACTGATCATGACTTTCCCACAGAGATTAGAGAGAAGCAGTGAAGAAAAAGGTGAGTAGATTTACAAGCTGCCCGGGTGGGCTGCTGTCACTTAGGGAAGACAAGAATGAAGTAATCCTGCCAATGGCAGCTGGATTAGCAACTGTGAAGTACACTAAGCAAACACTTCATACCATAGGATTTCTCCCAGGGGTGAATACAAGGCTTACAACAAGTACTACAAGTGTTCTTCATAAGACTCACAGGTTTGGAGATCATTGACAGCCTGACAACTATCAGGAGAGTTTACTGGCCCCCAGGGAAGTCTGATGGAGAGAATGGATGGGCCTGCGTGGTGGCATTTTACTCTGAAGTTATGTTTTCCCCTGCACTCTGCTTCACAGAGGAGTCCTGGCCTTTGGGATGTGCTATGATTCATCCTTTGGGATCTTAAACTCTACCTAGATTCAAGTCATGTGCAAAGACAAAATAAAAGTGTCAACTGATACAACTCTGTTCAGAACAGGAGCTTTATCTGACCACTGGGACAGGACATAGTCAAAGACACACAACACAAAAATATGGGAATTGGTGAGAGGTCAGAGCAGTACTCCATCAATCAGCATGCAGATAATGTTTTATGACATTATTGATTAATTCTATAATTATATACTTACATAAAATGTGGAATATACTTATGTAGACTACGAAATATAAGAATACTTATATGGAATAATGGTTATAAGAAAGGACTCTGGAGTTATAAAAATCTAGGCTCCACGTCTGTTTTTGTTCTTTTAACTTATTTACTTGGTAATTTTTCTGAATGCTATTAAATTATTTATAAAAATGGCAAAATATCTACCTCACAGTGTTGCTTCCAGAATTTAATAATGTATGTAACAGTGGTTTGCACAAAATATATATGTGTATACTCATTAGATTGTCTCTATTAAAACTAATAATAGAAGAAAAAATATTACAATTGTGGGAATAAACAGTAAGATTCATAGAATTCAATATAGATGAAATGCAGAAGCTAGCTGGTCTAAAATCTTGACTGGTTTATGAATGCCAGAACCTATTATTACAGAGATACTAAATAGTTGATTTGATTTAATCACATTTAAAACCAAAGTAAATGTATAGGTGATCAAGTACCATGTACCAATGCTAATACAGATGTTGCCATTCAGATGGTCTGAAAAGTAATTTGTAATAGCCTTTAAGTAGTTACTTAATGTAGCCTCCTAAATGTCTAAATCAATACCAGGGTGTGCAGCTACTTACTTGTCCAGGGATATGTGATTCTTATCTATCTATCTATCTATCTATCTACATATCTATCTATCAATTGGTTTATTATTTGCAGTGTGTGTTTCTTCAGTGTAGCAGGAAGAACATATTTGTGACATCAGCACAAGTAATCACAATTATCAGGTACCTTGAATTACCATATTTTTGTTGTTCAATTCACATTATATAAATGACCTGATCATTTAAAATGATTTCAAAACTATGCTACAGGGCTGCAGTAACCAAAATAGCATGGTATTGGTACAAAAACAGACATACAGACCAATGGAACAGAATAGAAACCTCAAAAATAAGACCACACATCTATAACAATTTGATCTTTAACAAATCTACAAAAACAAGCAATGAGGAAAGAATTCTCTATTTAATAATTGGTTCTGAGAAAACTGGCTAGCTATATGCAGAAAACTGAAACTGGACGCTTCCCTTACACCTTACACAAAAATTAACTAAAGATGAATTAAAGACTTAAATGCAAAACCCAAAACTATTAAAACTCTAGAATAATACCTAAGCAACACCATTCATGACATAGACAAGGGTAAACATTTTATGATGAAATTTCCAATTGAAGCAAAAACTAACATTGGCAAATAGGATCTAAGTAAACTAAAGAACGTCTGCACAGCAAAGCAAACCATCATGGAAGAGAAACAGGCAACCTCAGAATGGGAGAAAATTTTTGCAATCTACCCATCTGACAAAGGAATAATATCCAGAATTTACAAGGACCTTAAACAAATGTACAAAAAAAAAAAAATAACAACTTCATCAAAAAGTGGGCAAAGGATATGAATGGACACTTCTCAAAAGAAGACATTTATGTGGCCAAGAAACGTATGAAAAAAAGTTCAACATCACTGATAGTTAGAGAAATGCAAATCAAAAGCACAATGAAATACCATCTCATGACAGTCAGAATGGCTATTATTAAAAAGTCAAGAAACAATAGGTTTTGTGAGGCTGTGGAGAAATAGGAACACATTATGTATGTATATATGTATGTATGCTAGTATGTATTGAGATGGAGTCTCATTCTGTCTCCCAGGCTGGAGTGCAGTGGTGCAATCTCAGCTTACTGCAAACTCTGCCTACCAGGTTCAAGCAATTTTCCTACCTCAGCCTCCTGAGTAGCTGGGATTACAGGTGTGCACCACCACACCCAGCTAATTTTTGTATTTTTAGTAGAGATGGGATTTTATCACATTGGCCAGACTGGTCTCGAACTCCTGACCTCAGGTAATCTGCCCACTTCAGTCTTCCAAAGTTCTGGGACTACAGGTATGAACCATTATGCCTGGCCTAGGAACACTTTTAGAATGTTGGTGAGAATGTAAATTAGTTCAATCATTCTGGAAGACACTGGGGTGATTCCTCAAGGATCTAGAACCAGAAATGTCTTTGACTTAGCAATCCAATTACTGGGTATATACTCAAATGAATATAAATCATTCTGTTATAAAGATACATGCACACATATGTTTATTGCAGCACTATTCACAATAGGAAAGACGTGGAACCAACCCAAATGTTCATTAATGATAGACTGGATAAAGAAAATGTGGTACATATACACCATAGAATACTATGCAGCCATAAAAAAGAATGACATCATGTCCTTTGTAGGGACATGGATTAAGCTGGAAGCCATTATCCTCAGAAAACTAACACAGGAACAGAAAACCAAACACCACATGTTCTCACTCATAAGTGGGGGTTCAACAATGAGAACACCTGCATACAGATGGACACAGGGAGGGGAAAAACACACACCAGGGCCTTTCAGCGTTCGGGGGTGAGAAGAAGGAGAGCATCAACACAAATAACTAATGCATGTGGGGCTTAAAAACCTAAGTGACAGGTTGATAGGTGTGGCAAACCACAATGGCACATGTATACCTATTTAACATTACATGTTATGCACATGTATCCTGGAACTTAAAGTAGCCAATAATAATAATAACAATAATAATAATAATAATAATAATGAGGTCATTTAAAAAGTAATAAGTCCAAAGTGAGAGAGATTTCATGGTAGGTATAGCAACTCAGTCCTATAAAAGGTGTTGTGGATAAAAAATTATTCTTGTAATTCATGAATTCCTGTAATGCATGGATTGCTTTATTCATTGCAATCCATGAGATCACTAGTGCTGTGTGTTCTGATGCCATGAAGGAACTGCATCGCTTCCAAGGTCACAAGTATTTCTTAAAATCCAGTGATACCATAAGATGAGTTCCAAACATTCCTATACTCTGGATACGTATTCCCAAAGCTTGAGATCACTCACAGGAGGAGACTAAGATTAAGGCGTTTAAGGAGGATAGAAAAGGATGGCCTAAATTCCTGTTTAGAGTATTAGCAGTATGGGAAGGAGATTATGA